TTCGTACGTTGAACTCACAGCAACTTGTACGACAAAAGGCCAATAAATTCAAAGCACTCGAGAGGGGTGCAATATCTTCTGGAAGGCAACGCAATATTAACGGCTCATCTTGTTGAAACGTAGTCGATGGATATGCGTCTACAAGTATATCCATACATCAACCCAACACTAATAATGATATTATTGCATCGGTCCTATCTACAAACATAGCATTGTTTTAAATTTTCCCTCCACTATTCATAATTAGCAAAAGTAATCACTGTTATCTTAAAAATCAAGCAGTATAGGTATAGTAACGAGCTGGTCGATAATTTAATTGGCTGATTGGACGTCAATTGTACTAGCATCAAAGTATTTTCAATTAGCTCGTGAGAGAATCATTGATTGCGTCGTCTATTAACGGATTCTTGCGTCATTGTTCAGCCAACTTCTCGTCGTTGTCGAGATTGTAATTATCTTTAATTAATTGAGCAAAGGGTACGCTAGAGAGAGACCAAGCTCTACGACAAAAGCCCTTCGCGTCGACGCCTCCTCACTTTACTGTATAGGTTCTACGGATTCAATTTTCCCTCTATCTTACGTCTGTGCTTTTTCTTTATTCGCTTCCAACTTTTTCATTTGTTCTCTGAATTTTATGGACCTTCAAAGCTTCCGATATGGAAATGTGAGCTTGATACATGGTAATTTGGAATTTTTCGATGGCTATGCATTTATTTTGTATCGATAGCGTTAGTGACGGTAGACCATGGAAGGTCATTGATTTTTGGCCGGTTACCAGCTCGTTGTCGTTTACACTGGCAGAGCCGAAGACAAATGCCATCCAATCCGTTTACCACTCATGTCCCGTCCTTGACTGGCTGTCGCTCCTCGGCCCTCTACAGCTTTGCTCGTGAACGTTGACAAACGAGTGTACCCCAACTGAACATCAAAAGACCTATAGATATCGAGAAGCCATAATTGCTCTCCTCAGCCTTTAGAAGTGAAAACTGAATGAATTATATTTGGCTGAAGTTAATGAGATACAGTTGATACTTAGAGTCCTCATACTTATTAAGTTCGTTGTAGGAAGTTTCTCAAAGAGAATTTCTCGAACTTTAATTTAATCTGAAAATGGATCCGTTAACATGTTTAATCGGTTTCTCAAAAATTATTTCGCCCCCCCCCCCCCTCCCTCACCGTATTCTATTAATATGTCACGTTATCCTTGGAAAGTAAATTTTCGCATTGATAAAGCATTGAGAATTCAATCTGAACATAGCAGGGTGCAATCGCCTTTTGTGCTAAAAGTCTATGTAAATATTTGCCAAGCGCAGGCAAGTGTATATTTGAGTATGTATATATGAAGTCAGCAGCAGCAGGTAAGGTACGTGAGAGCGATATGCGCCTCACGGCAAACAATTACTTCGCAGCGTCGACGAAGACGGATCGCGCGAGAGCTGAGCGCCAAGTCGTCGCTAAAAGAAGAACGAAGGCAAATAGAACTTAAACGAATTTATACTTCGCGCCATGAATACGTGTACCACCGGACATATATACATCGTCAAATGTATAAATGCAAACGAGAGAAACGTGTGTTTTATAGAGTTGAGAAGTTTACCAAACGATTTTGTAATAGACTCCTTGCCTGAAAATTCTTTTGAAAGTGAAACATTTTTCTTCTTACAGTTAAATGTGAGAATGATTTTAAATTCTATTTTAATCTTTATGAAAAATCTTCTTTTATTAAATGAAAATCCTTGTGTTAAAATGGAAACTCCTCTTGTTGCCTTAAATATTTTAAAAATGGTTTAGGATGCAATTTTACGACGGATACATTTCTGTAGTAAGAAAAATACTTTTAATACAAAAGTCTTTTTATGAGTATATATGTCGTACACATTTTACATTAGTTACACAGAAATCTTTTTCTGTAGCAAATTTCCAATAAGATTAATAAAGGTGATAATAAAGATTAAAAACTTGGAGTAGGTTTAATATGACGCATATTACGGAAAAATAGCTCCAAGGCACGAAAATTCACAAGAAAAACGTAGGTGCGACAGGCAGCTCCTGAAAAAAATCAAAAGCAACAACAACAACGAGTTCTTGCGAGGATATTGCACTCGCAGGGTACGTTCGTACAGACGGAGAAGACGAAATGGAATTTTCTTTGAGACTAAGAAGGGAGAACAGTAGCTCGTGGAATTTTCCTGGGTAGCTAACATTGTCTTTGAGCCCTTGTTCCTTTCCGCTTTCTATCTTTAATCTGCTTTTCTCTCCTTCGCTTCTACTTTCTTTCACTTTCGTATCGTCCCTTTTTCCCATCGAAGCTTACCATTACCAAAGACTTTTGGATTTGTGTTATTTCCTCAAACACAACGTTTTATACTTCTTCATTTGAGATCTTAAAATTTATGCTGTCTCCACATGGGCTTACAAATTTTGTAATTCAATGAAATACATGAAACTAACTAAAAGAAAAGTACGTATACATACACGAAGTAGTCATGTAACATAAAGTAATTAAATATGATTATATATTAGACAGTACTGAAAATTTCTAGATAACAGTGCTCCGTATTGTTTTGCAAGTTTAGAGAAACTTTATAGTAACAAAGGTGACTTTCTCTCTGCGCTAACTGATTATTCACACTGTGAATGTTCGATTGAAATTTTAATGCAGCTTATTCCTCTTATTTCATTGAATTAATCTAGCGAAATAAAAGTATAGCTTAAAAGTTGTACATTTAAATTCTTTATAATACAGTAGAAATTAAAAATTTGAACAGATACAATTCTATTTTTACATTTATTATTATCGACAGATATCGATTAAATAGCGATGTTGTAAATAAATTTTAGTCTATATAAAAAGTGTTTTTTATTTTAACACTGTTAACCATAACATCTGGACAACATACACTTTTAAAAGTGTTTTGACATCAATTCAACGCGAGCTCGCGACCTGCCTCCATCCATTTTCCGATTGTTCACAGTTTTTTTAGCATTCTGCTAAATATTTAGCAATAAAGCGGCTTAATTTTACATGGTCTTTATTTTAATGTAAAGTATAATTAGCTTCTAATTTATTTGCCAAGCACATTCGTATATGTTCACTAGTAAGATGAATATGCCAGTGTGGTATTTATTTGAGGAATTTACTATTAATTTACGCAGTTTACATATTTGACAAATAACTACTTTTCCAAATGTGTCGTGTATAATTGATAGATGGTTCTATATATAGCAGAAATGCAGATTTATTCGATGCAAATTATTTATTGAAAATAACGGAAATTATACTGAAAGGAATATTGTATAAACCAAAAATGCTAAATATGAATCTTCTTATCTTATAAAAAATCCTCTTATCCTTCTCTTATAAAAAGGAGAACTTAACAAAGTGAGTCCAGTTCATTCGTAATTCGATTGGCTGAAAGATAGTCACGCGATTAATTATGCGATAGTTATGTATGTTGTATACACTCGTAAAATTTTATACAGATTTTCGTAGATTAAATGTTCGAAAAGTGTATTAGTATAAATAGCTTGAATTTAATATGAATGATTGTTTTAATCATACTAACCTCAAAATAATAAATGACTGATACCTCAATACACAGAGAAATTAATTTTACTTTATTAAGAAAGTAATTAATTTTACTTTATGCGAAAATTTAGCTTCGAATAAAGTAGGCAATAAAACATATAAATCGATAAACTATCATGATAAAATATTGTACAGTAATCCTTTGAAAAAATATTGTACAGTGATTTCAGGTTTATGAAGTTACGTAAAATATTAGAAAATTTGTTTGAAAATACTGATTACAATCGTGAACGTTTACTGAAGTATGTTATTTACATCGTGTAGGATATACAATTATAGAAAACTATAGCGATTTTACAACTTATTTCATATTTTTTTTAGTATTTTTCAAACTTTTGATTGATGATTTTTCAATAACACAAACCTTCAGATGATAAAAATTTAAAGCTTCACTATTAACGTTTTTAAATCATTAATATCAATGTAACTGCATATTTATCTAACAATAAATAATATCGTTGAATATATTTCATATCGAATTATGGAAATATTTTAATTTTCAATTTCACCAGTGAAAGTTTTAATTAACATTTGTGCATTAAAATAAATGCAAGATAAGCGCAAAAGATGAGCGCGCGAATTGACCTATACATTACTAGTACATTTAAATTTACATTTTAAATGCTCATAATAAATATTAAAATTAACGAAGCAAAAGAAATACAAACGCAGCAATTACGCTATATTTTAAAAAGAACCACTTAATAGTAGCATCGTCTTTCATAAAAATATAATAAATGCATTCAGTGCAATAGATTGACCCGCAGTAAATCTTATTACCGGATAGAGCAGCACAGGCAAAAGCTCCTCTTTCTTTCTTAGTCCCTTATCAGTCTTGCTTCGTCGACAATGGTTTCGCTATGAAAGCATCCCTGCTTTTTTTTTTCTCCCCGAGACTTATTTCTCGGCTAGGTGCAATCCGTCATAAAAATGGCGAATGGCAGTTGCGAAGCCAAGATACCGTAGAGACTTTACTAGGGAATTGTTTTGCGAGAAACCCAGTACAAGTAAGACCGCGATATTGTTTTCTTACTGCTCTCATAAAGCGCCTGCGTCGTTAAAGAAGAATCAGAGTGACGCATCTTCTTCAGCCAACGGAATTAATCGTAGAAAAAGTAGTTTCGATTGCTATAGTCTTTGTTGTTGCATGACGGAAGTCCGATTGCTAAAGCGATACGCTGTTGGGTACTGGATGGATCGTTTTCTTAAAACAAACAGTTTTTCTTTATTCCACATCATATTATTATTATAAATTCTATTATAAATCCAATTACTTAAGGCACTTTGTGGAAAAACTTAGTACAGAAAATGTTTTCTTATTTGTGTCACGACTGCAAATAACGTGGTTCTGCTTAGTTTCGAAATATAATAGAGCAAGGCATGAACAATAGCTCACTCTGTCTGATTACAGGTCTGTCGTTGGGTGGCGGACTCATAGTTCTGGCATCGCTGTTGTCGGACGCCACTTGGGACATACCGCAAACCTACTCTTCGTTTGACAAGTCTGAAGATACTGGATTGCCACACTGGCACTACGGATGGTGTCTGCAGCTCTCGGGACTAGCCCTCATCCTGTCAGAGCTCGCGGCCCTGCTCACCATATCCGGCTATATGGCGCGCTTTCCTACAGTCGAGGACATGGTACGCATACATACACACGCCACTCCTCTTCGTTAATCATCTCGTTCCGCAAAACCAAAGTCGATTACCTTACCCGACAGAGTCACTACATAACCAATATGTAATTAAGGTTGCGAGCTTCTGCTGCTGTCAGGATCATTGATTGTTATTAGTTGGTGAGTGGTAAATACTTGTAGAAGGAGAACTAACGCAACAGAATATTGTATAGTTACATATAATGTTAAACTTGTATCCTTGGTTATGTAAAATTACACCAATTCAATCGGCCTCTTTTCTAATCGTTATAAACTTACATTTTAATTTTGTTAATTAACATTTTCTCTTCAAAATGATCGCAGAAGATTTGTTTCATTGCAAGCAAAATGCTTATCTAGATAAAGAAATTAGAATATAAATTAATTCAATTTTATAGGATTTCAGGATGAACTTATACCTTTTTATGCAACGAACAAGTACATAAAAATAACTACTGTAAAAAGATTTCTTTTCGAGAGTGTTCAGTTGAGACTGTAATTGAAAAATATGCTACAATTCAACCCGATAACTCAGCAAAATATTCGCAGGTGCGAGTAATGGTGCCAGGTGCAGAAAGAAAGTTGCGTGAACAGCGTGGGCTGAGTTCCGAGTATCTAGTAAGATCACATCAAAAGTCACCTGGACCGCCTCCCGGATCGGGTACAAATCAACCTACGAAGGGTGAAGGTATAAAAAGTTGTCTTAATACTTTCTGAAACAAAGCAACTAACACGTCCAAATTCACAAGGTCCGCCACGACTGACCGAAGAGGGTACATCCTTGCTGTGCAAATCAGCACCAGACATCTGCGCATCGAATCCGCAATCTGCCATAAGTTACGTCGACAAAGCTGACCTTTCACACATGCTGCCTGCCTACCCCGAAACAAAAATTATCGAGCCACGATTTGTCGGCACAGGCTTCCCCGACAAGGCTGATCAGAATATTGTAGATTCCCGGCTGAGCGGTTTCGTCGATAAAGAAGGTCTCGTGATTGCATTCGCCGAGGGTAAAGAGCAACTTGCCTGCCAAGAACCACCCGCTCGGTTCAGCGACTTTCCACCTCCGCCTCTACCCTTGCCAACCGAACAGCAGCAACAGCAGCAGCAACAGCCGATAACTCCACAACAACAACCACCTTTGGCGTTCGCTGACAAAGACACCCACGGCTTTATCGTTGAGCAGCAAACGGCCGATCAGTCGTTGCTGGATGCACCATACGGATACGACACTCGCTACAACAGCCTTGCCGGTCAAACTGTTCCTATCACTCTCAAGCATCATCATCAAGCAACTGTATCAGTTTCGGCTATTCAATCGTCTCCAACACCTCAATACGTGTATCAGAATTTCGGCACGATACACTCAGGGATGCTAAGGGTTGCTGAACCCGGTACCAGTTCCACTATGAGTTCAAACTGCTCCAGTCAACGAAGTATGACTTTACAGAATCCTAAAAGGAAAGTCACCGGTGGGGCGCCTATTGCCCAAAATGCTTTTAGTACTCTCGAATGTGAACGACGAAGGAGAACGGGTGGTGGTGGAGGAGGAGGTGCTTCGACAACCGCTGCCATGGCTGCAAGTGGCAAGGCTAACTTTTGTGCTGGCAGCGCGGTATGACCTCCAACTCATACGACTCTTCCTAGGTAACTGAGAAATGAGGAGACCCCATTGTAAGCATTCACTGGAGTTCATCCTCAATATTTGACTGGATTGTTATGATCTGACCGGCAGACTTTAACTACCGTAATAATAATTTTCATGACCATTTAAGACTTTAGGAAAAATGAGTTTTCTTATTAAAACTCTACTAAACATCTAGTTCTTTTTCACCAGATTCTATTAAATTACTACGATATGACTGTTAAAAATGGTGTGATCTGCTTTTCTACAAAATACTGCCAAACATTTATAACAGAAAATCCAGCGTTATGGAAATCTTGCAAAAGGAAATAAAAGAACCTTTATATACATTTATTAGAGTAGAATGAATTTTCCGTTTTTCGATTAAATAATTTAGGCCTATTGTTACTAATAATTTCGGTTAAACTATTTAGCTCAAAATTTTTCGAAAAGTCATACTGGAAGATTTAGTTATTGTACTGAAAAACTATGCAAAATCTATATCATCATATATTTTATACCTTGTTCTAGAGTTTTTAAGATATTAGAATATTTTTTTCATTGTAACACTGTCTCAGACGATTTATGATTTATCCAAGATCAAATTGTTTAGAATTAAAAGAAGTTTAAGATTTTTTATCTCATTGAGCTTTGCGGTGGGAAAAATGTAACTTTTGTAAATAAATCATAATCTACGTTATATACATATGATAAAATATAATAAATACTTTATGAATCAATAAACAACCTCACATAGCAAAAATCATAAACAAGTTTCCAATGTAATTTGTAAATTTTCAATGAATGATTGTGAATCTCATTAAAATTGATATAAGAATGTGCATTTGTACATTATGCATATTCCTACTGTTAATATTGAACTCTGATCCAGACACATTTTTTTATGCTTACATTAAGACGTGATTACTACAAAAATGTTGGTTCTAATATAATGAGACATAAAGTAACTTCGCCTTATTTTGACTTAATTGTTGGAACAATCTTTAATGATATCTTAGTAAGCTGTAAAAGTGAGGAAACTGAAATACTTCCAAAATGTATAGATAATTAAACAAAGTGTAAAACAAGCTGAACTTAAAGTGTGGTAAAAATAAAATAACAATTCATAAAATGAATGTAGTGAATTTAATAAACCTGTAAAAATGGAGTACTTCTTAAAAATATTAATCTGATTCGTAAACATTTCAGCGCTTAGTTGTGTGGTTAAGAATGGATCCTTGACATATCAAGTAGTGTAATAAACTATTTTAAAATAATCTACATTCATGGAAATTTACAACTGTATGTCAACAGTCTAATTTTCTTTCGTTAATATTTTTAACAGATAATGTTTTCATTAAAAAGAAATACTTAATTTTATTTAATTACATCAATTTATAAAATTTTACAACATACTATTATCAATTTAAAAACAGGGAAATTTGGACATGTAATGCTCCTAGTCATTAAATGTAATAAAATGTTTCTTTGATAGTAAATTGGAATAAGCTTTAATTCAATGTTCCCGAACATATTTAAGTAATCTGTACAATTTTGTATTATTTTTTAATTTTAAAATAAATAACATCAATGGTTTGCACGTATAAGTCTAAGAGTTTCTATATAAAAAGTAGAAGAAATTGACGTTTTTTCTGTATATATATCCCACATAGGAATGCTTGAACTTTCAGTGTAAAGATGGCGCGCTGACACTAAAAACGGCTGAACTTCGACAATTTGAGTTTACGATAAAGTGCTAACTCTGTTGGAGCGACTGATGTTTAATCAACGCTGCATAATTGCTTCATCAATTAGTAGACACCGTTCAATATTAATCTCCGATTTGAATTCATTTCAATGTGTTTAAATTTGATTGAATGCATAATCAACACTTGAACTAATTACGAACGCAAAACCCGTATGTTTTATTAACATAGTTGAGATCAGTGCTAAGAGAACAGTTTTAAAATCATTCTTTAAAAAAATTTTTTTCTTGCTTCTAATTTACAAGTATAACTTTCGTTGGTATAATTTTTTGATAAATTTTTTTGGAAATATGTAATAAGCTTAACTTAAAAATCTTTCAAATCTTTATTTCTTTACTTCAAATCTTGAAATACAACTCAAAATTCAAAATCTCGATTTAAAATTTAGTAAATAATTTAAATAAGCATTAACTGTAGTCATAAACTACGTTGTCAGAAGATTAGTAGTCACTTATCGATTTGCTGCTCATAGGCACGTCAACCCTAGTGAGCACACACGTCTTGTGGAATAATTATTGACGTGCATTGCCTCTCCGCTTGACTGACAGCGTGAAAATAAACAAACTTTTGGCGTGATTATCTAAGATAAATTCTAGCATCTCGTATAAATAAGCTTTGAAGAACAACGGAAGTTTTTTATATTTTTGTAGTCTTGATATGAAAACTTAAATCAAAATATTGTACACTAAAATATTCCAAAACATATCCTTCTAAAAATTCATTTACTTTTGCTCCCTCGTCACAAAATGAAATTCACGAAGGGTATAATATTCTTAAATTTTCATTCCCCGTTCCTATAAACAACGTCATTCTAAACCCTCCCACATAGTCGCGAATGAATAGTTGAAACCACGTGATCGCCTCGAGCAACCAAAAACATAAGCCTGAACCTCGCTTTAGAGAAAATTATGCAAAGAAATCACCCGGCATAGCGTGATCTCTGATAAAAATATGTAGAGAATGGAGGGTGTATGTGCGTGTATTATGGTGGAAAAACTGCGGTGGCAAAAAATAGGCAGAAGATGATCAAAAACAAAAAGACGAAGCGGAGACGCACTTATAATCTAGACCGCCATCTATCACCGCAGAAAATACTAGTTAGACGATTCTATCTTGCTGCCTTCTTTACGCACCCCGCGACTCTAACTCTTTCTCTCCCTCTCTCTTTCTTCTTCACACATACGCTTTTGCTACCTCGCTCAATAACATGTGATGAATGCACAACGCCTCATGAAGGATTTTACGTATTACTTTATAACTTATATACTTAAATTTTTCAATTTAAGCGTTCGCAAATTAAAATCTCGAATTTCTCATCCTTTAAATTTACGCTAATTTTGATTTAGTTACGCTCCGTCACTAATCTTCGTCATTTTAAAATTGGTTCAGCTGGACGAATAATGGAGACAAATCTTGGCGATGAGACATGCATAGAACGCTCGAGGCAAGTCAATCTTGTGCTGTCTCCGCAGTTTTTATTGCTGTTTAAAAATCGAGGATGCGCAAGACAAGGATAAACTCGGTCTGAAAAAAAAAATTCTTGTAGCAATATTAATTCGACTGGATTTCAAAGCCATTATGGCACTATCACAGGCAACGACTGTAACCAGGAGAAGCGAGCACACAATCGCACCTGGCACTAAAATCGTGCAGGAGAGCGAGGGCACGAGAATAGTACTTCAAATCCTCATAGCTCTAGCGGGGCTTTATCGGGTGGCAGTAGTGGCGGCATTCGCTCTCAGCTTGTCAGGCTTGGCGCTTGCAAAATTGTTAGCGAATCCGCAATGTATCAGCAGAGTCGAAAGAGCGAGAGAGGGGGGGAGAGAGAGAGCACAGGGAGGCGCGCATTGTCCTTATCGTCCGATAATCCAGCCGATTCGGGCGGTAAAGCACGCTGACAAATGAGAGCTGCCATCTAAATCGCCTCGCGGCCATCCATCCAGCAGCCGAAACGACTCCCTTATCTCAGCTCAGCTGCGAGCTGGACGAGCCTGCACACCCCCGCGACGAGCGAATTAGCGCCCGGTATTAAATTACGCGCGCGATATCGCATACACGGAATTAACCTCAGCCATAGAGAGCGAAGCGCGCGCAAGGATAATTTCATTTGGCAGACCCGGAAAGCTTTTGCTATCTCGCGCTAGTGCTTGCTTCGGGCGGTGCCGCCCTTCCCTCCTGCGATTTTCGTTATTTCATGCCCATAGTCGCATTGCTACGGCCCATTGTATATTTGCCCTAATGTCCCGACTTTTATCTGCGAACTCTCATTCTTACTGCTTTTTTTGCGTGATCACGAGTCTACTCTGCCTGGCTACACGGCAGTTACGACCGCGGGCATTGTATTTCACACTAATTCCGCACAATGTAATCCAGTCGAATATATACGCACCCGTTTTACGCCAATGTTCGCAAAAATGATTCACAAAACAATAGTCAACGCGACGTGAACATCAGGCTGTGTATGTAGATGCACATAAAATCACGTCTCTCGGGACATAAATCTTGTTTCTATTTGTCTTATCTGCCTTCTTTTTTCACCAAATGATCATGAGGCTCGTTACAAATGAGCTTTCCAACTTCTCACATAAAAATAAAATTTACTGCCCAACAGCACGAACGAAGTAAAAAACAATCTGTATAAACCGGGAACAATATGAAAATCGTGGAGTCCGCTGTATGTACGCAAACACACGAAATTCCCAACACAACCGACATTTTTTTAAACTCCAACGAAAGAGAGGAAACGTCGCTCTCGCCTCGCAAGCGCGTTATCGCGATGCCTATACGCCACGTGAGCGAGAGAAGTCACTGCTTTTGTATACACGCAGGCACATGAGAGTGAATACGCGTACGCGTTCTTTTTTTTCCTCCAGTTCTTTCTCGTTGCTGGCGTGACAGCGTAATTTTTCATAAACCGATACCCGATAAAACGCTGAGACTACTAGTAACCTCTTATCAACGTTGTGTTTGATTTTACAGAACGACGCTGTCTGGAGCTTGGATTGGAAAGTAACATTTTTACTTGAAATCTCGAAACGATTTCATCAATACACATAAAACAAAAAATACATGATCCAATTCGTATTGTTCATATAATTAATGTTACATTACTGTCTTCGGTTAAGGGTTTGAATTACGAAAATGAATCTTATTGAAATAATGCTTCCTAAATTATTCAGATAAAAAACATTAACATGATCCGGCTGTTAAGATAAGAATTCATGGTTTCATCTTGAACGATTTTATTTATTTTTATCCAAGCAAGACTTTGGCATTAACATGAAAATGAGATGAAAAGTCGCAGCGTGAAGCCAAATTTAACGCTGTCTCGTCGTATCAACGATTAAATAAGTAATTCGATTAGATCGTTACATCCGTAACGAGAACTTCATAAATTACTTCAGGAGATTATCAGCGGCGGCGAGTCGCGCTGATGTTAATGAGCCCATAAAGGCGAAAGATTCCTCTTTCCTTTTCTCTCTCTTCGTAGAAATACTTTTTCTCGCCACAGAGCTGCGAGTAATTCGATTTGGCTCAGGTCCGCGTTGATCCCCGGGAATTGCTTGACAAATTCGATGGGGAACGCGTGACAGAGAGAAAGAGAGAGGATCGAAGAACGCGCTCACAAGAAAAAATGAGGTTCGCGCCCCTACCCCGAACGAACCGCGACGAAAACTCCCCCATTTGCGATCGTCCCTTCGACTTCATCTTTGCGCGCACGCCCCTTCACCGCGCGTCACCGAAGGGATTTGTTCGTGCGGTTAACCGACCAGTCGGAGCTCCTCCACTTCTCTCACGTTTGTCGCTCTTTGTTTTTGCCTCTCCGAACAGATGTTTCCTCAAGTCGAATCAGATCGTAGTGCTAGCTCTAGTAATGTGTACACGATGGAGGATGCTCGTGATTTTTTGACGGCCTGCAGCATCAATCACTTTTCACGAAAATCGAATATTGATCGATCAAGTTCAAAGTACGGCCGACAATGCGTTAACTGCAGATTTTTTAAGAGCTCATAAAACGAAACTCAAAAGTGACAAAGTTATGGCGACCATGAATGTCACTGACGAGACCTTTGAGTGTGGAAAAAAATTTTCAAATTAAAAAGTCAAAACACCCATACATGCGCTTCGGAATATCTTCTTTGTTGGTAATATATCACGGAAATACCGCAGCACTCTAGCGCGAGATTTTCTATCCTCGACTTCATTTCATGGCGGCAGTATTTTCATCAAACATTATTATTATAAGTCAAGATTAACGTCGCCGACAGCGCTACGGAATAACGCCATTTTTACAAGTCTCGCACATCCATCACAATCGTCAAATCAGCTCTTGATCTAGACTACCGGCCACCGAGAGTCGGGCGCGCGTTCATCTTCATAAGCGTTATAACCAAGTGAGATAAAAAAGCACAGGCTTACCGATAAATCAAGCAATCAGCTAAATGAAAAAGGCCGCGAACGAGCAATCGCGCGTTAGGAGTGTAAAGAAAAAAAGCTCCGTCAAGAGCACCGCGCGCAGTTACCATGGCGACGACGAGAAGAGAGATCCGTCTAAATCC